ATGGGAGTGGGAGGGGTGTAGGAGATAGGGTTGGAGTGGTGTAGGGGATGAGAGTAGGAGGGAGGTAGGAGGTGTGGGGTGGGTGGATGGGTTGTAGGAAGAAGCAGAGAGGAAAGACAAGAGAGAGAGAGAAGAAAGAGGGCAAGTGGACTAAGAGAGAAGACTCGGACGGAAAAGACCAAGAGAGCACATGGCCGAAATGGCAGGATTATATATAGGAATGAGAAGCTGGGGGAAGGGAGCTGAGCCTCGGGCTGGAGAGGTTTAGGGTTGGGGCCGGGGCAAGAAGTGCTGAGAGGAGCCACAGGTACCCAGCAAGCCCTGTCGTGGGTTTCACTGAGACTTGATAAACACACTAGAAAGAACTGTGAAAAGTTCCTGGAACTGGAATTAGAAAAAACCTGACCGTTTATAAATTATTGGCAGTATATAATAAACTAAAACAATAAAAACAAAAACCAAACTAAAACACCCTACCTCCTGACTCTAATAATAAAAGCAATTAAAGCAAGGCCGAAGAAGGAGAATCTGCAGTGAGAGGCTTGCTTGGACTATGTAGTAAGACTGTCAATAATAATAATAAAGGTTGTGCTCAAGTTCTAAACATTTTTAGAATTTTAGATAAATTTAGAATGTAAACTTAGGAATAAATTTAAAAGGAGAAAAATTAAGGGAACAACCTTTTTAAAAATAAAATAACATAAAAGCTAACACATTAAAATTGGTCAAAACAAACAGGAGGGAAAGATCAAGAAGAACAAGAAACAGAGACTCACTTGTTCCCACACTCAGGAATCACATAAAACACTAAAGTGAAAGCCATAATATACATGCAAAGGACCTGAAGGGTAAAAAGAGAAGAGAAATTATATATATATATAACAAAAGAAAAATTTAAAATGATAGATAACCAATTTTAAAGTGTGTGTGTGTGTGTGTGTGTGTGTGTGTGTGTGTCCGCGCGCGCGCGCTCACAGGTATGTCTTGACACAACATTGTGAGACAGGAGACTTCCGAAGATGCTGTTGAGTTCACTTTCTTTTGGCCATCTTCTGCTGGGCATACCATAAGGGTCTACCCTTAAGCGCAGTTAGAAGAAAATCTTTCTTTAAATATAAAATTTTAAACAAGTCATTTGGTGGTGGAGCACATCTTTAACCCAGGAGGCAGAAGCAGGCAGATCTCTGAGTTCTAGGCCAGCCTGGTCTACAGAGGGAGTTCCATCCAGGACAACCAGAGCTACACAGAGAAACCCTGTCTCAAAAAAACAAAACAAAATGAAAAAATTAAATACTTGAGGGGAAAAAATCTAATAGTACATATAGGTAACCTCTAAATATCATGCACTCAAATTTATCAGTTTTGAACATTATAATGTATTGGGTTTATCCCTCTGTCTAGCTATTTTCTTTCTTCTAACTCCTCTGAGAATAGCTTTTGTATGTCATGCTCTTTTACCTGCTTGAACGTCAGGTTAAATTGCTAAGACAGATACTCCCAAACGTAGTCAATCAAATGTGGGGTCTATGTTTATCTAATCTATGGCCCATAGTCCAATTGCTTCAATTGCTCCAATAAACTTTTTATAAGATAGTCCCTCTGGGTACACGTTTCATCTTAGGGTCATATCCTAAGTCCAGTGGTCAAGTCTCCCTCGTCCCTTTTGATCTGTAAAGCTGGGCACTGCACCTTTTGTTTTCCTTTCATTAAAAAAAAAAACGTAGCTTCTCAGAAAATTTTTACTTACCCCATCTGGTATATATTTGCTCTGTCTTTACCATGATTGTTGCAAACTGGTGGTTTGTTTGGTTTCTGGTTGTTTTGTTTTGCTTTGCTTTTTCCTATCTGCCCTCTTTGTATTTATTCGTGGGGACCTCGTGTTAAGGGAGCAGCTGTCCACTTCCATCCATTTCTGCATCCTCCACTGTCTTGTTACTAAATAGTCATGGAGTCTTGCTTTATTCAGTGGGTTACAGTCTATCTTAGGGTTTCATTGCTGTGAACAGACACTGTGACCAAGGACAACATTTAATTGGGGCTGGCTTACAGATTCAGAGGTTAAGTCCATTATCATCAAGGCAGGAAGTACAGCAGCATTCCGGCAGGCATGGTGCAGAAGCTGAGAGTTTAACATCTTCATCTGAAGGCTGCTAGTGGAAGACTGAATTCCAGGCAGCTAGGAGGAGGGTCTTAAAGCTCACGCCCACAGTGACACACCTATTCCAACAAGGCCACGCCCACTCCAACAGGGCTACACCTCCAAATAGTGCCACTCTCTGGGACGACCATGTACAAACCATCACACAGGGCATTGTTCTCCAGTTAATACCCCAATGGTCTCACAGTTGGCCATTTTGAAGCCCTTCAAGCTTTTGGCACGTACCTTTTAGTTTCCTGGGTACAACTTGACTTTCTAGCACAAGATGTTCCAGATCCCCTTGGACCTTTCTGCCCTCGCCCTGAGTTCAGCCATTTCCCCATGAACTCCCGCTTCCTTTTATAAAAGAGGAAAAAGTCAAAATAGGAGAAGTGATTCTTTGGTTTTGTAGTTAACCTTCAAATATAAATGAAGAAGAATAGATTTAAAAATTTATGTATCGTTGATTTAGCCTGTCTTCCTGGCTTCCTTTGTGATAAAAAAGAAAGGAACGTTTAAGGTTTTTTTAAAAAAAATCTTCTTACTTATTTGAATATAATTATTTCTGGCCATAAATATCAGGAAAGAACATACACACTACTATAGCAACTAAGAACTTACTTACTTCTAAATGATGCTGGAACATAATAGCTCCTCAGTAAGAATTTGTGGGGTGGAAAACAGCTCAATACTGGAGGGCTTCCTAGAATGTACGAAGTTTGGTGTTCCGTCCCCAGCACTACAGAAGAGAGAGGAAAGCCTGGAAGCATGCATAGGTTCTTAAAGACTATAATTTATAAAGCTCTGAAGATAAATGTAATGAAGGATGGGGGTCTCTTTTGAATTCATTTGAAAGAAATTGAATGAAAGGTTTATGAAGTGACAGTCCATCCACTCAGATGCCTGTTACAGGAGGGATTCACTTGTCACAGTGGCGTAATAAGCTGAGCCTGCTGCGGTAACACCTGGAATTGTTACTTTTACACATGTGATAAAAATAGATAAGTAGGAAATGCTTGAAAGCATGTCAATTTATATGTTATCCCAGTTGGAAGGAAAAAAAAAAAACCTCTTCTCTCTCTCTTGATAGCACAGAATTTCCAGTATAATGTACTTTTGCTATACTGTAGGCAAAATAGAGATATTTTATTCTATGGCATAGAGAGGAAACAACCAAATCCATTTCTTTTCCCATTCACCATTTACGTAAGAAATCACGTGGGACTATGAAAATCCAGATTTCCGAACACCGTTCTGGTCCAGTGAGTGTATCTTAGGATCCAGAAATCTGTGTTATTTTACTCTGAGCCAGGCATAGTGGTGCATGCATACAACCCCTGCACTTTGGAGGCCGAGGCAGGAGGATTACCATGAGTTTGAGAACAGCATTGGTACCCTATCCTGTATAGAAAGAATTGTCTCTGGGGAAAAAAAAAAAAAACCTAAAACAAAAATCTCTCCAGATAGATGTGAGGTACTTGATCATCAGTGTGTCTTGGGAACTACTGGTGTGGGGCAGGGGAGGGATACCTGGATATTTCTGCTAATATTTATTTACATATTATTATGTGAGTATGTACGTGGGGGTGGCACATCTGCTACCGTGTGTATGTAGATGGAGGTTAGAGATCAATTTGTTATGTCTGTTGCTGAGGACAAGCTAAGGACAATTCCTGACCCTTCTGGTTCCATCTCTACAGAGGTTATAGTCATATACCAGCATGCCCAACTCAATCATTGCCTTGCTTGATCTTGACGGGTTTTTATGTTTGGTTTGATTTTTCAGAGAGGATCTTATAGAGCCCATAATAGCCTCAAACTCACTATGTCACTAAGTATGGCTTTAAACTCCTGACCCTACTCCCTCTGTCTCTCAGTAGCCGAGATTATAGTTGTATGCCACCACCTCTGACTGGAAAACTTTATTCAACAACTTACATATTGACGATTTTCCTCTTTCCCTTGTTCAAATAAAGAGTTAATTTATCCCGTGAGTCTCCAAAGTGTTCTATGGAACTTAGGATGCAATGTGAAATTTACAAGTTTCAGAGATAACAGATGTGTGTCTCAAGAGAAGACTTTTACTTGCTCCCTATCGCCCTCCCTTCTTTCAGTTATGTACGTATGTATGTATGCACATATGTATGCATGTATATATGTATGTACGTATGTATGTATGTATGTATGTATGTATGTTCCACAGCATCAATATGAAGGTTAAGGGACAATTTACATCAGTCAGTTCTCTTCTTCCACAGTAAGTATCTTAGGACTAAAATATGGGTTATCTGGCTTGGTATTAAGAGCCCTTACCTGCTGAACTCTTTTTCATAATTTGACACAGGTCTAAGTAACCCACACTGGTTGCTGGGAGACTAGTCGGGGACGGTCTGAAAGGAGAGAGTGTGGAATATTGGAGGCGGATAGGATTAAGATTATATTTTATGAAACTGTCAAAGACTAAATAAAAGATGTGTCTAAAATAAAACCAGCGTGAGTCTCTAGACTGGTGGAAAGAACCTCGTTCTCAATTTCTCGCTTAGGGGAGAGCAGGGTTTAACTAGAAAGAGGCACGGAAGAGGTGCACTTTGACAGCAGAGAAACAAAATCAGCAGAGGAATGCAGGAGGGAGTCTGCAAACCCGCCGGACTTTCCCGCCTAAAAGGCGAGGGGGTGGCGCTGACATGTGGGCGGGGCCGAGGCCAGGGCGGGCCCCCGGGCGAGGGCGGAGTCTTGGCTCGGGGCGGGATCCGACGTGTGGGCGGGCCCCAGGGAAGGGCGGGGTTGCTTCTCCGCCCCTCCCCATTTTTCCCTCACTGGTTTCCTCCCTGCTACGTTTCATCAAGATCCCGACAGGCCCAGCGGCTAAGGGAGTCACGTGAGAGTGGGCGGAGGACGCAGAGCGGGGCTCCACGGCTTGTGCGTCTCTATGGCTGTCAGAGGTGGGCGGCTTTCTCCGAGTTGCTGCTAAAGCTGGAGCGCGGACGGGTGAGTGTGAGGACTCTGATCGCCCGGCGGAGACAGGTTTAGGGGAGGGGACGCCGGCACGTTTTGGGGACGAGCCTTTTGTGTGGCTCTAGATCCGGCCACTTTTCAGGTCCACTGGGGACTGCTGTCTTGGTGATGCTGCTGGTGATATGCTGAGGGGACTCTCGGTCCTCCGCTCCCTTCACCCCGTCATCCCTTATCCCTGTCAGGGAGAACTTGTAGTTGCCCGGCTTCTAACCTCAGAGTGCATCCACTCTACCCGCGGCGAGGACACAGGGGTAGCCCTCATGGGTTCTCCGGGAATTCGTGGATGTGGTCAGAAGAAGTGGACAGAGGAGTTTACAGCTACGACAGAAAGATAAATACACTTATCACTGATAGAGAAAAGGGGCGGGGGGAATCATTGGCTTAGGAAAGCAAAACAAACTACAGACTTCTTGGACTCTTCCGTTTTTATCCTCACCAGCAACTTGGCGTTCTCATTCTCCTTCTTTCTCTGTCTGTGTCCAGTCCCAGTCGGGGCTACCCACACGGTGTTTCGAGAATGAGCCAGGTATTATTGATTATAGGGGATGGTAGAAGAAGAGTTTAAGGCGGACTGTGTTTTATTTATAATAGGTTGTCACCTTTATAAATCCTAGGGTTTGTTTGTCTACAGTCCCTTTCAGGTGCTTAAAGTGCAAATATTTGTATATGTAAATAGAGAAACATTTTATACCTAAGAGCGAATCATTTTCTTCCTGAGACGCTTCGGAAAGGCCCATTTTTTTCTCCTGTTTATTTATAAATAGATGTTTTGATCCACTTCTAGGATGGCTCCCTTAATAAACCTATGAACAAAAAAGAATCCAAATAAAACAAAGGAGGCCAGAACATTTTCCCAGATAAGTGGCATTCTAAACTCTTTAGGATAAGATTCTAAACAAGCACCACGTTGTTCACACCTGCAAACATTCAGGATGGTCCTGTCGGCCAGCTGTTTGTTATAGCTCAAATGCTGACAATCAGTGAAACCTAAACTCCCCAACAGATGTCTTTCATCTCCCGCACAAACTCCTTTCTAACGCTGCTAAATCACCTCCCTGTCTGACCCCGCCTCCATCACTCGGATTGGCCTTAAAGGCTGAATCTTTCCTTTTCTTTTTTTAAAGATTTATTTATTTATTTATTTATTTATTTATTTAATGTATATGCGTACACCATCTTCAGATACACCATTACCATCTGGTTGTGAGCCACCATGTGGTTGCTAGGAATCGAACTCAGGACTTCTGGAAGAGCAGTCGTTGCTTTGAACCACTAAGCCATCTCTCCAGCCCAAAGTCTGAATCTCTCTGTCTCAGACCACTTGCCTGCCCAGACCTTGCAGGCTTCAATATGTTCAGTCCCCACTTCTCATAAATCTTTGATTTTGTTTCACTTAAAGACATTACCCTGACTACCTGCTGATGCCAAGAAAGTATCACCAACGCCTAAGTATCCGTACAGAAGGTCGTAACATTCAAAATATTATTAGCAGAAAGCGGGGATTCCAGAATGGCTTGTGCGCCTGGAGAGAATGCTAGAAACCAATAAAGGCTGGTAAAAGCAAGAGCATCAGTGCCTTTATTGCTGTCTTCCTATAATTTCATGGAGTAGTTACTGTATTCAGTAAATCCATCCATCCATTCATCTATTGAGACAGTGTTTCACTGTGTTGCCTTGAACTCCTGGATATAAACACCCTGCCTCAGGCTCTATAACTTGCTTTCTTATACTTAAGAGGAAAAAAAATCCTAATAATACATAATTCCTCACATAATTGAATATCATATGAAATAATTATAACCGTTATATTTAACTGAACAACTACTTCAGACCTTTGTAGTCATTTTAAAGAATCAAGTAATGACACTCTCCTCTCCAACCCTCACAGTTGGCTGGATACTTAATGGCAGTTTTCTGCCGTAGGCTCCTGAGTGCTGGGATTTTAGGCATGTGGCACCAGGCTGTGAATAAAGCCTTTCTCATATAGATAGATAGATAGATAGATAGATAGATAGATAGATAGATAGATGATAGATAGATTAGATATAGATTAGATATAAATATAGATATAGATATATAACTTTTAAACTGTGAAGTTAGTTTTAGCTCTAAAACACATGCTAAATACTCTCCATTTCCCCTCAGAGAGTTATTTGGTATACCTCCTTTTATATAAAAGTACTTTTTAAAAAAGGTTTACCACAGCATCCCCCCATCTCATAATAGAAATAGCTATCTTGCCAAAAAAAGAATGGATTCTTTTCTGATAGGTGTTCCATTTTAGTAAATCACGAGAAAAAAAATGTTAATTTTTTAAAAACGCTAAAAATTACTCTCTGGGCATGTTTGAGACGTCTGAGCACTATCTTGGAATGGTTTTTGTTTCTTATTATAAAAATAGTGTGTTCTGTTCAAAAGTGGAAACATTAAAAAAAAAAAAAAAAAGTAACATTGGGCTGAGTGTGGTGGTGCAGGCCTTTGATCTGAGTGCTCCAGAGGCAAAGGCCGGCAGATGTCTTTGTGAGTTCTACACCATCCTGGTCCATACAGTGAGTTTCAGGCCATCCAGAGCTACATAGTGACACTGTGTCTCAAATTAAAAAAAAAAAAAAAAAAGTCACACGCACATCAAGTCATGGCTATGACTGATCTCCAGAGTCATTTCCCTTTTGGGAGATGTAATTGGGAACTCTAGGAAAATAACTGAAATTTGGCCTCTTCCTCCTTAGGAAAAGTTAGCAGTAGGTTTGCACCCTGCAATACAACTGTAGAAACCCCAGAAGAGATCCTCACTGGCCAGCAATGCCAGTTTGTGCCTTCATTCATCCTAGGGGCAATAGGAAGCTTTTTGTGGTTAGGCTTGGGTTTCTTTCTTACCGTGGACTAGGAGAGAGGACAACATGGTCTTACACCACACAAGTTAAGGAGGGGGATATTTGGTTTCCAAAGAAAAATGGTTGTGGTATCACGTCCTGCTGAAGGGAGGGCGGTTATATGAAGCCGGAAACAATAGATATTTACAAGTATTTGTATTCTAACTGAAGAGGTCTTCTTTGCCTTTGAGATATAAATTATATTTGTAGTTTGGGCGTTGACTTCTGCTTTTTAAAATATCTATTATTAACTTAGAAAATTTGAAATTTGAGTCCTTTGTATAGATGTGTATTGTTATTACATCTGTGGTGTCTTGGCTCTGAAATATTTTTTTAATTTTATGTGTATGGATGGGTGTCTTGCCAGCATGTATGTCTGTGCACCATGTATGTGCCTGGAGAGGCCAGAAGAGGGCATCGGATTCCTTGAAACTGCAGTTACATGTGATTGTGAGCCACCATATATATGGGTGCTTGGAACCGAACCCAGGTCCCTAACAAGAGCAGCAAGAGCTCTTAACTAATGAGCCATCTGTCCAGCCCTCAGTATTTGAGTTTTATAACCTGTGATATACTGTAACCTTGGCCAGTTTGTCTCCATTTCTTTTTCCTCAGCACATGCTCTGTTGCTGAGCTATAGCTTACGTGTCAAGCTCAATAACTACTGGTCCTTTTTGTATTGTAGGTTAACTTGACTAAGTGACTACAGCTTATGAATAGTGAATAAAAATATTTTAAGTCCTTGAAAAGCTGTGTGATCAGTAAGAGTAAATTCTAGGTCCTCTGCATTATTCTGCTGACAAGTCTCTTGGTGTACAGACTATGTTGTGGTGATCATTGCATGAAAAATCAACCCTATAATTCACTATTTGCTGTCAAATGGGTATTAACTTTAAAACTAGTTAACATTAGTGTCTTGGTTTCTATCTCTTTATGCTTCGTTGTAATGATTCATCATATTTTAGGGGGACTATAATTAAAACGATGTACCGTTTATTGTCTTGTTTTCAATGGAAGGAAATGTCATTGGCAGCTTAGTTCAGTGGGTGCTGTACTAGCTGCTGACACTGGCCACAGAGGTTCTGATGAGGTGTGCTCTAATGCCCAACTCCTTCCTTCTTAACAGTGAACTGGATAACCACACCTCTGTGCCTGAGATTGTCCTATTGCACATGGAAATGACCATGCCTTTCTCTTGTGTGGACAAGGTTAATTAGCATATAATGAGTGTATGAATGTGTAACGTTTGAATCACGTGTAAGTGTCAATAATAGTGGAAATAGTGTCTTAAGTGATTTAAGTTTTCTAATTTTTAGAATTTTTGTCTCAATCATGCGTGTGTTTAAAATATATAGATGCCTAAGCAGTGAATTAGATTACCCTTCAAATTGTCTTGAATTTTAAGATGATTGAATTCCATGTTACATACATGTCAGTGAACTGGAAGATTTGTTAAACTACCTTATTAAGAAAGTGCTCAGGTGTTTGAAGAATCCAAGAGTGATAACAGATTTCCCAGTTTAAAGAGGGTGATACATTTTATTAACTTATATTTACTTATCCATGTGTGTGTTTGCCGGCGTGCCTACCCTTGGTCCTGTAAAGAAGAAGTTATGCTTTCGACACAGGATATCCTGGGTACTTGCTGATAGAAGAGATAACAGTGTGAAACGTACCTTATAAAAGAGAGGCAATGGTGGGAATTGGAGAACCAGGAGACATGATTAAATATAGTTAGTGATCTACCATTGAGAGTTAAATGTTGTATGGATAGAGGTGTGTTGACTCCATTTTTCTTACAAATCTAAATATTTTCCGAGCTAAAACTAGCAAGTTCAAAGTGAGTTTTACTATTTGAAACTGAAACTTGTGGCGCTGGAGAGATGGCTCAGTGGTTAAGAGTACTGGCTGCTCTTCCAGAGAACCCAGGTTCAATGCCCAGCACCTACACGGAGGCTTGCGACTGTCTGTAACTGTCCAACATCTTCTGACCTCCCTGGGTACCAGGCATGCACAGACAGACATCCAGGGATGATACCCAGTACAAATGAAAATGGTTTTCAAGTAAAATAAAAGAAAAAACATTTAAACTTTATTATT